AACTGTTAGGACACCGTGTAAGATAGGGTTTTCAGTCTATCAACTGTAAAGAAAAAAGCTTGAAAGTTCCTTGCAGACCCAAACCTTCACCTCAGAAACATGTCCTGTTTTTCTTTTTTATTCCTTTTGTATGCTACTGGGGTAGAACCTAGGGCCTTCATACTGAGCTATGTTCCCAATCCTCTTTTATTTCTTTATTTTGAGACAGGGTCTCCCTAAGTTGTTAAATTCCCCTGGTTGGGCTCCGGCTTTGGATCCTTCTGCCTCAACCTCACAGATGTGTGTGATTACAGGCATGGGCCACCAAGAGAGCTTAAGAATCCCCAGGTCAATAGTACAGCTATTGTACTAGGTGGCGGGGTGAGCAGAGAGGCAGGTTTTCTGCAGCATGTTTTGTTCTGGCTTGGATTCGGCTTCTGCTGTGCAGCCCGCCTCTCTGAAGTCTGCTGCAGCTGGAGCAGGATGGTTCTGGAACAAGACATCGGGTGGGAGAAAGACACCTGCCTGGGCTGGCCTCTCCCCGGAGCCTAAGCAGCTTCTATTGTGTGTGTGTGTGTGTGTGTGTGTGTGTGTGTGTGTGTGTAAAGAAGATAGATCTAGCTGTGTAGCCTCAAACTTGTTGCAATCTTCCTGCCTCAGCCTCCCGAGGGCTAGGATTTCAGGCCTTCACCACCAGCCTAGCTCCAGTTCTCTGTGTCTGGCCTTGGGCCCTGGGGGCTGCCTGCAAGTCTGACAGGGTGGATCTCACCCCTCCCTACTCCCACCTGGCTCCTACCGTCCAAGGAGGAGGAACAAGGAGATGAAAAAGGGGAAAAACTCCAAAGCTCAGCTCTGGGTTTTCCAACAGGTTTTAATTTTCTTTTGTTTCTTTTTGTACTGGGGATCGAACTCAGGACCTTGCACTTGCAAAACAGGTGGTGGAACCACTGAGCCAAATCCCTGGCCCGAGGTTTTAAATTCTTTTTTTTTCTTTTTTTTTTTTTGGTACCAGGGATTGAACTCAGGCCCTTGCGCTTGCAAGGCAGGCCACTGAACCGCTGAGCTAAATCCCCTGCCCCATCTGAGGTTTTAAATTCTTAATTTGAAGCTCTCTAGTATTTTCATAGCTGTAGCCAACGGCACTAGGACTTTTTTTTGTTTTAACATTTGATGTTGCTTTACAGCTTTGTGCCTCCCTAAACTTCCACAAAGGCATTTTAACTTTAAAGGAAAAGCCAGTCCTATGCCCTTCGTTCCCAGGAGCAGTCTGGGACCCATTTGGCCCGACAGGTGTTTGCTGAGTGACTAAACAAATGAAGTGATTCCCTGGGATACCTTCCCTCTGGGTGAAGTTTTTCTTCTCTCTCTTTTTCCTTTGGTACCGGGGATTGAACTCAGGTCCTTGCGCTTGCAAGGCAGCCCTCTTCTCTCTTTGCTAAGCTGGGAATGATCCTATGCCGTTCTCCTCTCCGGACGTATGGGGGAAATCAGCAAAGTTGATCGAATGGTGCTTGGGAAACTTGACCATGAAGCTCTCTGAAATAAATGTCCCTTTTTCTCTTGCTCCAAAGGCTGTGTTTGGGTAACGTGAGCAACCCGCTGCGTGACTAGGGAAGCCAGGGGACCAGCGC